CCCTCTACACTGGCTTCTTGGCCCTTTTCAGGCATGCCATGACCTGGGCCATGCACATGTCTCCAACCAGCCTTCTCCAACATAAACAGAGCAATGGGATCATTAAGACATTCCAAAACAAAACCCTACCAAAACAAACCACTCCACCCACCTTCAAGTCTCCCCCGGGAAAAAGGACAGGAGCAAACAAGACAGATGATGCAGGTCACATTGCTTGATGCACTAGTGCAGGGTTCTCAAACTTCCTTGCACTGACAACAAAAATTACTACATGACCCCAAGAGGGAGGACCAAAGCCTGGGTCCGCCCAAGTCCCGCCGCCCTAAGCTAGCCCTGGCAACCGCATTAAAATGGGGTTGTGACAAGGGAGGTAAAATATTAAATGGTTAACCAGTAAGCATTAGTCTTACCCATTAACCAACCCTAGCCGTTAACCCCCCACCCTAGCCACGCTGCCCGGAGCAGCCCCAGCCCCTCTCCCTTTAATTGGTTAACCGATTAAACAATATAACTGTTTAAATGGTTAACTTTTTAAACAATATTTACGTGCCTAGTCGTGACCCACTTTGGGGTCCAGACCCACAGTTTGAGAACCGCTGCTCTAGGGGAAGGCATTCACATACCACAGCGATGAGCGCCGTATGAGAACTTGGAGAATAGGTCCTAGGGTATTGTGGTAAGGGGGAACTCTATGGTTCTCTTACACAGGGCTAGTCAGAGAGAAGGGGTAGGCAGCCACTCTGGGCTCTGAGACTCCCCCTACCCCAGCACAGGCGATGAGCAGTTCCTCCAAGACCATGGAAGGGTTAATTTCCCTCCCTCCAGCAGCTCTCTGTACAGGCAGCTTCAACTGCAAAGCCTTCCTCAGACTTGCCTGTGGCAACTACACCCTGCATGAGTCAGCGCCCAGGGGTGGGGAGCACCATGGAATTCACATAGGAGGGGAAGTCTGACACAACAAGTTGTAAAGGCAACAAGAGGCCAACACAACAGCAGGCTGCATCAACGTAGGGCCAAGGGAGCAACAAGCCCACTCCACCCAGAGAGAGTGCAGCTGTAATGTGGCTGAGCTGAGGGGCTGGGTTGCGGGAACAGCTTCAGCCAGTCGGCTGGGGAGGGGAGAGGACATGCCTGCGTCTTACAGAGATGGATACCACAGCAAAGGGGATTCGGGGCAGATCCAGGAGTAAATAGACTGGAGATCAGGAGGAACTTCCTGCCAATCAGGCTGTGGGACCATCTCTCCAGGGAAGGAAAAGCAGCTCCCTGGTGATCAGGCCCTGCCTGGGATCTAGACCTGGCTGCACCACTGAGCTTGGGCAAGTCCCTTTCATTCTTGTGCCTCCATTTAACCCATCACCTTTTGTCTTATCTATTTAGACGGTAGGGTCCTTGGGACTGTCTCGTGTCTATACAGCACCTAGGACACAGGGATCCTGATCTGGTTTGGGACCTCTGGGTAATACCGTAATTTAATATTTAAGAGCACTGACCCTTCCCTTTGCATTGAAAAACCAAAGGGGGCATCCCAGCCATCTGACAGGCCACACGCTCCCTTTCCCACCAGCTCCCAGAGTCAGCCACATCCCTGCTGGTGCGATGAAGGGAAGATGCTACTCGGCAATAGCAGCTTCGCCCCACGCAGCGAACTGGACAGGGGCAAGCACCTCCTAGTGCTGCAGAGTAGCAGGAAACAGAGGGGAGCAGGGATTGTTCGTGGTCCCTCACCTCAACCCCCCCCCCCACCCTGGAGCCCAAGCAAGTCCCTTCACCAGAGATCTGCCCACCTGCCAGGCTAGGGGAAAGCCCAGCCCCCGAAGAGAACAGACTTGCTGGGAAGCAGAGCATGAGATTCGCAGTCTCCTTGACCAGTGCTCTGACCCCAGCAAAGGGCCAGATTCTCCTGTCCGCCACCAGAAGGGAAGAAAGTGGGTGTCTGACCACCAGGGGGGAATCAGAGGCTGGCAAAACAGGACTTCCCTTGCCTCCCAGCAGCCTAGAGGTGGGATGGGAAACTAGCCGAAGTGGATCTGCAGTAGACCACCAGTGCTCGGGACCTACTGCAGAACCCCCCGTCACTTTCCTTGCAGACTGTGGGACTATGGGGGGGAAGGGGGTTCTCCCAAGCCTGGATCTCCCATGGGAACCGCTCTAGGTTGTCTGCCCATCCTTCCTGGGGGCACCTGCTTCCCAACTTGCTGGTCTTCGGTAAGTGTGGGCACTTGATTTTGTCCTTGAGCAGTCATGGTTGCCAGTGCTGCCTCCCTTGCCACCTTGCTGTAGCAGCCAGGCCTTCTCCTGACACCATAAGGTAGCTCGGCTGGCCACAGCAGCATGCAAGATTTGGGGGCCCTTACAGATCCCAGACAAGGAGAGTTTGATCAGTCACTATTGGGATGCAACTTCCCCTTGTTTACAGCATGATGGGGCAAGGGGAACAGACTGTTTAAAGCCAGCAAAGCACAACCCAATATTCTAGAACAACCCTGCCCCTGTTATGGGGGAGGGAGGAAGATGGAAATCCATCTGGTAAGGTCTTTTCCATCTCATTTTAGGATGCTAAACTTCCTTTGCACCCAGTAGGCTGCAGGGCTGGAGTACAATTCCTCAGACAGGGTTATTGGAAACTAAGGGTCCTTGCAAACCAAGACTACTAAGGCGTGAGAGTGGTCTAGGCACCATGTTTGGCCAGTGTCCCTTTAAGCAAGTTGGCCATGGCAAAATGCTTCTGCAGGAATTGTGCCGTGGGGCAAGTGTGGATGTTACAGAAAAACCAATCAAGCAGGATTGGAAAGAAATTTGGAATTTCTTCTGCCTCCCCACCAAATCAACCTGATCCCCTTCTATAAACCTGAAAGTCAGCCTCTTCCTATGGAATTTAAGGGCATCTGCCCTATGGAGCTGATAATGTAGCACAAGCCCTCCAGATTTTAACTAGGTCTTCCATTCCAGCAAAGAGATAAACAAAGGCTCCATATTACTGTTATTTCAAGAGTAAAAAGCATATTATTTCTAAGCCTGAGGTGATCGTTATACATCATGAAGGAGCAATAGAGAGCATGCGCCTACATTATTAGCTATGAAAGGTAACCAGAGACAAAGTAATCATTGGCTTCCCAGAGAGATCCTGGCACTCACAAGAAAAGCTGGCCATAAGCTGTGCTTCTAGATTGAGGAGTCCTGGAGTGAAAACCTTGCTCTGAGCAAGAGAGTGGACGATACGCTCCCATCTGTCTTACCCAGTGCTGATTTCCCCAAGGATCAGTGAACACACCATCCATTGCAATAGGTTTTTAAAAACTGAAGTCTTTATTAAAAGTTTTATCCAAATTTTGTAACAAAAAAAAAGATACAAAAGGGGTGAAGATCCTTATTTCTGGGACTAATCTGACCAATCGAAACCTGACAGTTACTAGGCGAATATAAAATCCATACAATCTGCTGAAAAAATGCAGGGAAAAAATTAAAAATATCAACTGCTGCTGTGAATTTTTTTTTTAAATTCCTTTAGCATTTATAAGTTACTCAGTTTGCATTTTACAGGAGACGTTTATCTTTGAATGGTTATAGCTACTGTACAATGCAAGAGACAAGGGCAAGGCTAGAAATCCAGATGTGCTGCAGTACCCAATGCACCTTTGCAAAAATTGCCTTTTATAGGAGGGGTGAGAGATTTTTCTCTTCTTGCTGCAAGAGGAATACGTGCAACTGCTGGGTGCTGACATCGGCCCGCAGTGGCTGAGGGAGAACCCTGTTAAGTGCCAATGCATCTGCATTAGTATAAAGCCTCAGGGAACACCCCCACAAACCTGGTTAAAAGGTAGTTGCTCTCCCCCACTCTCACCAACCTATCTGAGCAGAGATCACTAGGCACTCAATACTGAAGGGTTGGTTAATGCCCCTTGAGGCCATGGAGCCAAAGCTCTCCTTAGAAACTAACAGATGAACACAGGTCAGAAATCACATGGGGCACTTGGCAGGATTCCACCTCCGTTCTAAAAAAAATGCCTCAAACAGGTCAGAGAAGCAGTGGCTCCACTCCTACGGGCTGGGGTGAAAGGGAAGAGAGACAGCTGTCACAGCACATAGTGCATAAAAGGGAAAGAGCTGGACTTCTCATCACTCTGAAAAGGAAAAGGAGAGGTGTACGTGCACCAGGCTAGCAACTGAGGCCACTGTTGAGAGCTGTTACTGGCTAGCCAGAAGGACCCTGAGAATATTTAGGCTAACCCGGTCTCCCGGTGAATGCCGAGTTAGGTGTATCACAGTAATAATGGTTAGTGTGTGTTCTGTACAGTGAAAAATGCAGTTTGGTAGCAGTGCAGTATCCCCTTGCCTGATGTTTCCTATTCTTCCTTGAAGGTGTAGGTTGGCAGGGGGTGGAGAAAGCCTCCTTATGGCAAGTGGAGACATTCACAGCTGCCAACCATAATTACTTTGCAGACATCCAAGAACTGAAAGCTACAAAGAAGTGGCTAATGGGTAAAAATATTCCAGTTTATAAAAAAATAGGAAAGCAAGAGACAAGGCTACTGCAAAGTTCCTCCTAACAGGTCTGAGATGCAGCGAAGAGCAGATTCTCTAAGGGACCCGAGCCCTTTTCCCCCACCCCCAATCGCTAGAGTATCTTCAAGCATCTCCAACTATCACACCACTATTGTTGTTTCAGGTCACTTTGGGTGACTGTTTGCTTTCAAAGTCCACTTACACGAGCAGAGTTTGCATCCGCTGCTCAGAAGGCTTGCAGCGTCTTCAAATGTTGGGCTGAGGACATGTATGCTGGGGCGGTGAGCGTTCGCCTCTTGTGGTCATGTGGGATGGCAAAGGGTTGTTGGAGCTCTCGGTCCCATGCGGTAAGGCTGATTGAGAGATGCTCTAGGAGGAGAACTTTTTTTTTTTTTGCAAAATGCTGCGCAAACCACAGAACGGAGAAAGCCTTTGGTCATAAAATACTTGTGAGAAAGTGAGTCTTGTATGGAAAGATTCCCCTGAACGCCTACTGTATTCTACGTCTTAAAAAAATATATTGTGGACACTGCAGCCATACAAAAGGGGGAGGGGCCAGGAGAGGGGGATTTACAGTCTCACATGGACACAATGGGGAGGTTAGGACAAGCACAGTCATAGTCCGTAAAACTGATTGGCTCGCTAGGATTATCAGTCATCCTCCTCATCCTCTTCATCTTCTGGATCTTCCTCTCCCTCATCCTCTAGATCTCGTTTTCTCTTCTCTCCCTGTGGAAGGTCTGCAGGGAGGGAGGAAGAATTAAATTCTACTCGCAGTCTTGCAGAACAGCATTTGATCTCATTCTTCACAGGCTATTTAAGCTACACATCTTGCAGGGGAACAAGTATGAACTAGAATCACAGCAGCTGTTGGATGGAGTCCCACCCACTGTTCCATTTTACGTGGCATCCAAGCAAAAGCCTTGGGCAAGATTTTCAAGTGGTGAGTGCTTTTTGGTGCTCTTGAGATGCTTCAGAGGGCCCAAATTTTAGATACTGTGGGCACCTGAACTCTAATGTCCCCTTTTTTGAGGTGTGAAATTGGGCACCCAAAATCAGTCACTTTTGAGACTCTCAGCCAAGCTTATTCTTGGTGATTTGTCATTCAAGAGTTGTGCCAACCTCCACTTTGCTATAAATACCCTTACAAATATTTTAATCAACTATACATAAGCCCATCCAGATCCAGTCTTCAACTATCTAGAGAATTTATTTCAAAGTTAGAAAGGAGATGCCCTGTGCTTTGTTGCCTAGAGTGAAGTGAGACCCCAGCTAGAGTCTAAAAGAAACCACAGTTCCTAGAACAAACAATTTATAAAAATGCTAACACAGCAGAGCTTCCATTAGAGCCTCTCCTCCTTCCAGAGTATTATATCGAATTACACAGAACTGGGATATTTTGCCAATCTACCTGATCAGCTTTTTAGCAACTGACAACCTATTAATACTGACTGACTGTTTTAAATGTCTTGGGATGGTGGTATAATTTAGTTCTAGTGTTCACCAGTTTCTCTTGGGCTGTAGATTCATGCTTGGTCTCAGTTCAAAGCAGTCGTATTTTGGTAAGTGTGCAAAGTTAGGTCAGCCATTTCCCCATAAGTCGCAAAAGGAACAGGGACTCACGGATCTGAGGCTGGAAGCTACAAAACATGGCTTGTTTTATAGAGCTCATTGAGGAAGGAAAATGGATTCTACCTGAGACTGATTTAGTCTGAGTTAGCTGCACTGAATGTTCAGTCAGCAAGTTTACATTAGCACTCTCCGATTTCACCACCCAATCGTGGTTTAAAACAACAAGCCCTGCAGTTAAAGATGTACCGGGTCTTTTCCCTTAAATGTGCAAATCAAATGCAAAATCAGTGCAGCATTATGGCTGGAGAAACTATAAGGTAAGGAAACTCAAAAGTTAGTGTTCCTAATGCTACATTGACCGCAACCACACAGGACGTGCAGTTTGGGATTGATGTTTAGTGCAACTAATACATTCCCATGGAACACACAGGATGCACTGAGTAGCAGAGTGGAAGCCCTAACTTTGAATTTCCTGACTTGGGTGCTTTGTTTCCCAACCTCAATACTTAACATTTTACGTAGCTGTGGGACAGTGTCCTGGTTCAGTGGGAGCAAGACTTCCTTGCCATAAAAGAGAAAACTGCCTTGTTCTATTGCTCAGCCCCCAGAAGGAGACAGTGACTGTTCGCATCAGAGTAGTGGATGGTTAATGCTACCTTTGTGAGTGCTGCATCTTAATTAGGAGAATTAGATCTACTCACCCTCCTCACCTTCGTCGTCATCTTCATCCTCCTCATCCTCTTCCTCCTTGAGTTAAAAAAAAATAAAGAATCTTTGTTTATACAAGGACCAAGATCCAGTGACTAGAGATCTAATTCCTTTTCCACTCCAATCTTTCATGTATGACTTCAAGAGGACATTGCCCTCAGGCAGCACAGGAACTCAAAATGGCCAAGTAACAAAATCAGCCCCCCTCCCTTGCACCCTGATGCCTGCCCCCCTTCCTCATCCTTCATCTCACAGGGACAGGAACTTGTGGGCACAAAGAAGAGAAATTGTAATGCCGCCTGGAAACACAGCAAGGTGTTTACCCCTCATACCATCCCCACCTACAGCATTAGGAATCCAGGCATCGCTTCCCAGAGCAGTTGACTACCTAGGAAGCTCTTTTCTTGAATGAGACTAGCCTCAGGCAAGGATACAACATACTTGGCCAGATTACAAAGTTTCTCAGGAGGACTGATTTTCATCCGCAAGGGCACAGATGGAGTATTTACTAACAGGCAGCCCCAAAGGCTCACAATGATGTCAAACCAACAAGAATAGCCTCACCTCATCATCGACTCCATCTTCTTCCTCTTCACCTTCCAGATCATCTTCATCCTCCTCCTCGTCATCAATGACTTCCTCATCCAACTCATCTTCCTCATCGTCATCCTCTTCCTCACCTTCTACCACAACAAAGGGAGATGAGTGGGTTCCCCACCAATGTGCTCAAAGCAACACACCAGGGACAGGGAACCAGGAAATGCACCCAGACAGCTTTTTGCACAGATGTGCCAACTCAGAAAAAGCAACTAACCCAGAACAGCCCCACTGGCATTAGGTAAAGCCCTATGCCCACAGAACAGACCTATGCATGGGAGGTATGTCAACTGACAAGTCCAGTTAGCTTAAATCAAGCTTGGTTTTCCAGTTCATGCCTGGGGGAGATGGGATTACCAAAGCAAGATTAGACTTTGGCAATGAATTCACACCCCTGCTGAGGTGGTCAGTGGGGGATGGCTAGTGAAATAGGTGGGAGGCAATTACAGAAAGCCACTCCAAGCCCCCTTTACCTTCTCCGTTCTCATCATATTCATCATCCAGCCCATCACCATCTGCTTCAGGGTCTGAGTCAGGGGCCTCCTGGTCATCGGCATCAAACCCATCCAAGTAGGTGAGCTGGGGCAGAAGGGCAAACATGCTCTCCCGGTAGTTGATCAGCATTGTCACCTCACAGTTGAAGAGGTCCAGGCTATGCAGATTCGGCAGTTTCTTCTGCAAAGATTAATTGTTAGGCCATTAGGACACCGTTCTGGTAAACTTGCTATGAGCAAAGGGATGAGGGAGACATTAGGATGTGCCTGGAGCAGGTGGTTTACAACCTGACCTATAGTAAAGTAACTCTTTCATGCATACTATTTTTTGTAATATGTGCCCCTTAGAAAACCTAGGACTGATGTCAGACACCCCCATGGGGGCCAAGCAAGTCATCGCCATGACACACCCAGGTGCCATCTACCTCAAACAACGTCCGACCCCTTAGCAGTCCTTTCCCAGGTGGACACTGAGCACACTACATCCACAGTTTTGCTCATCCAGCCCAATTTCATGTTCCTTTAGCAACTGGCTGCTGGTTTTCCAGACAGAGGAGCCAATTACTATTAGCCCAGCCACATATTGGGCAACTCGTCAGTTCATATTAGAACCATGAAGTGCTGTTGGAACAGTTATCAAGACTGTTTGACTTCAGCTGCACCCACATGACGCCCGAAGGAAACAGCCTCTATCAGTTAGATCCGTGCACGGGGCCTTTCACTCACCAGGGGCTCCAGGGTGTTGATGTCCTTGATCTTGTTGCCACTTAGATTCAAGTGGGTCAGGTTAGGGGTCCTCTCCGCTAGAACTTCAAGGCCACCGGAGATCCGGTTATCGCTCAGCTCCAGCTGCCAGGAAATATTCAGAGGCACTGCTATAGAGGATCTCAACGCTTGACATAGGTGAATAACATTCCCATTTTGCAGATGGGTAAGTCACGGACTCTCTAAGGCCACAAAGTGAGTCACGGTATGGACCAGAACACAGGAGTCCAGACTCCCAACCCCGTTCTCTAACCACTAGACCTTGCTTCCTATAAATTGCAGATGAAGGATCCATTTTAACTTCATTATGTAACCCACAGCAGGCAAACACGGGCCCCTTTCCTCCCCCTGGATATTTGCTGTTTGGAAAGGGAGGGAAATAAGGAATCAGGGCAGGGGATTGGGCAGTTTTCCAGTACAGTTCTGATGCCCTCCCCTCCCTAACACAAACAGCAGAATGATCATGTCAGGAAGGAGCTCTATTGAGCCCACTCAAGGCCGTATATGGAACACAAGTAACAATCCCTCAAGTTAAGAAGCAGTGCCAAAAAATCTAAGTTAAAAGCAATAATCTGCGGTTTACTCCTCCACTCTCCTACATGCCTGACGTGGGGGGAAAATCACTAACACTTCAGCTACAAGGGGCATGTTTACACCAGTCAGAGCACAAGGTCAGTGATATGAAATGGCCAAGGATCTTTACAACCTTGGTTACACTAATCCTTTCTTCCAGAAGATTTCACACCGCTGCATCTCCACTGGTGGCAGGGCTACTGCAGACAAGACTCCAGGCAGCTGCCTGCATTTCAACCATTGTTTCCCAGAAAATATGGTAGTGCTTAAAATGCCAGCAGCCACCCTGGAGCTCAGTTCACCCTACCACATTCAGCCACTCCAGAGGTGTTTGCAATGGTGGAAATTTTCAGAAAGAAGCTAGCGTAGCCAGCCATTCACAACGAGGTAAGCCCCAAAGGCAGTGTTGCTTCTGGGATCAGAGTCACAGGCATCTGCTAAGAGCACAGCGCTTTCCAGCAAATTGGGGTCACGTGCACATAGGGTGATCGCCATCAGACACAGCATCTTCAACCTCTAAAGGGAGGATTGAAGATTATTAAATGGTGAATGGGACTGTACAGTCATTCTGCTTGGTTACTGCTCCCACATCTATTCGATTAACCCCCATATAAACATTATGGCCCCTCCCCCTACTGCTGAGTGATGCAGGGCAGAACCCTCAACAGAGGTCGGCAACAAGTTCCCATGCTGGGTTAGCTGCAGGTGTAGACAGGGACATGCTGAGGCCAGCGAGAGTTGAGAAATCATCGTGAAAGCCTGAGACGAAGACGACCCCTGGGCTTCTGAACTGGTGCCGAGCCAGTTATTAGTACCCAGGGACCAGCAACAGAATTTTTCTAGGGTGGTCCATGCATATGGGCTAAAGGGAGATTAATTTCGGCTTCAGGCCTTCCCTGAATATTTCTTTAACATACTTCAATTTGGAAAGGAATTTTTGCTCAGCACTTCAAAGTAGTAGGGTAACTGCAGCACCAAAAGAGGCATGATGCCCCTGTGATGGGGGAGGCTGAGGGAAGAGGCCAAGATCCTCAAAAGTGGTCTCTCGTTTTGGGTGCTCAACTTGAGACACTCGGGTGTGCTCAGAATGAGTCATGATGCAAGGGTAGCCCTACCACAAGAGGCTCTGATAGCACACATGTGAATGAAAGCAGGAGGCAGGCACTGATCCCTCTGATGAAGCAGGACAGCTATACAAGGGGATGGAGTAATCCCTATAAGGGAAGCTCAGCTCTAACGCCAGCCACTACTGCCCCATTGCCAGAAGGCTCATGGTAGGGCTGCACAGCCTCACGTCCGACTGGCACCACCTCTTAAGTTTACCTTGCGGAGCTTGTGGAGCTTGGGGAGATTGGAGACAGACAGCAGGTTGACGTTGATCATGCTGAGGAACTCCAGATTTTCAAAGTCCGAGGAAAGGCCGACGATCTTCCCATCGTCCGAGCGGCAGTTATCCAGCACCAGCTCCTTCACCTAGAGAAGGAAGGAGAAACACTCAGGAGCTGGCACAAGGAGCCATCATTGTCACTTAAAACTGCTGGAGTCTCTCAGCTCTTAAAATCAATTTGTATTAACCTACCGAATTAACCCATTAAGATCAAACTCCTGAGTGGGACCGATTTAAGATTGAAGCACCATGCACCGGTCTAAGGCACCAATACCAAATAAACCCCTCCCACCCACCCTGTTAAGGGGGTATGCAAGTAATCCACTATTTGTAAACCAAGTTTACCTTAGTGTGGGTACAAGGTGCCAGACTGGCAGTCCCTAGATACCACAGTTAAAGTACAGGCCGTGATAATCCTCACTGCCACTATGCCATGTCACCAAGGTATGGTGGGATCCTCTCTAAAAAAAGGTTCAGTCTCTGTGGCCCAGATAATTTGTGGCTTCTGAGCAGTGAATGTTAACGAGGGCATCAAAACTGAGCTGAACTGAAATATCTCAACTCATTTCATATAAGGCACCAAAAAGCTTTCATATGGCAATTATTTTCACCCAGATTTGAAACTACAAGGTTTTATCCAGTTACTAATTCCCTTTGGGTCCCATCTTTCCATTCATCTGGATTTCCCTCTTATGCTGGAAAATCTTTTAAAGTAGCATTTCCAGCCCGGCTCAAAGGCCATACTCTCCATCTACTTTATGCACTAGTCCCCAGCCAGCAGGGGAGCACAACAGCACAGTAGGGTATGTGACAATTCCTCTGCCCTGACTTTTTTTTTGGTAAACGAAGTTTGTAAGATGGCCAGCTCACACCCAGACCTCACAAACTCAATATTTACCACAGTAAAAAAATCCACTCCCACAGCCACACATGCTGCATCTGACGACTTGTCAGATAGGCAAACATACATGGCAAGAACCCCAGAAACAAGTAGGGTTCAGTCCCAATACTCCAACAGCAGCTGTTACAGGCTCGATTTCCAAAATGGGCTCTTGTCCTACATGTTCTTCAAAGCAGGCCAAAAGTCACATCCTTGGCTAAAAAAACTACAGATGCTCTCAACTCATGCTTTGAATCCCACCTCCTCTGTAGCAACTACAGCTTTTGGGTGGACCAACCAACAATCAGAAAGTTGCTTTGAAGGTGTTTTGCTTGGTTCATTGACCAGAAAAACTGTTTAACCCATTTTAGAACGATCACATTAACCCCACATTTAAAGACAGTTTCTTAACAGGCACATTAACCACTTCTAAAGAAACTTTAAAATTGGTAGTGGAAAGAGTTTCTTAGAGTCAGCAGCAAGCACACGCCACCCTCTTTGCCACTTCACATACTTTAGTTTCCTTTTTTTGCTTGCAACATTTGAAGTAGTAAGTGAATGAGTGACGAATGTGCTGCAAAATGTAAAAAAATACTCAGTTTGTAAGAAACCCAGGGTACCCTGCAGTTGGTTTTAAGTTTTATACCCCAGTTCCTGCTATTACTGCCTCCCCTGCCATCCCACCATCTAGAAAGCATTTTGTCTAGCCCTAGCCAGGTCCTATTTAATGCCCACAATTGTCCTTATGTTCCTAGCCTTATTTAAAGTTGATCCACACCATTCCTCTGGCTTGTCAAAGAGCAAGACCTTATCTCCCTACATAAATGTCACCTAGACTGCAAGGTTGTCCCTAGGTAAGAGGGAGGGCCTTGTTATAAGCAAAGCCTGGTATTTATAGCAAGTCAAGCCAGCACCCATGAACCCAGACATGAAGGACAAAGCACTTTTGAAGGATGCAGGAGTCCAATGCTCAAGATTCAGCTAGTCAGCTGTGTTGTCTAAGCACTCCAGCAACAATGCAGTTGAACTGGCCCCACCAGAAGGCGGGGGCAGCATTCCTTGCTTGGCTAAGGAGGTGCTAGCCACCAATAGCTCTGCAAGGCAAAAGATCAGCCAACCAGCTGGTTGGAAAGAACAGCCAAGGCAACTGACTAAGATTACAGAAAAGGGAGAAGTTACTCAAAGCAGCACAGATCACGCATCTGATCAACTCCTCTCCCCAGAGATCAGGCATCACCAGAGATCCTCCATTCTTTATGCTGACCCTCCCATATCCTGTTGCACCAGCCATCCCCAAGAGATTTAACTCCTCCCACTGCAGGAGGACTCAGTTTTGTAGGGCAATTTCATCTTGAGACCAACAGCAAGCATCTCTCCTACCCAGCCACGGCACTCAATGCCCACCTTATGCCTCCACATTTCCCTATATTAAGAAACACACAGTAACAGCTCCCTTCTCACCCCCAACATATTCAATTACATTTGGGGAAGACGAGGGAGGAAGTTTAGAGTTCTTTATTCCTTTCCCCATGAACTCATTTGCACGAGGTAGAGAACAGTAATAATAGCAAACACTGGTCTGCTAGCTTGACTTGTTCTCAGTTCACAAGGTGAATTTTTCAGCTGCCCCAATTCCAGAAGGGGCAGAATCACAACCTAGAAGTATCTCAAGCGGGGGTGGGGGAGAGGGTCAGCTCTTGCTCCCTGGGGCTTGGATAGTGGGCAGGACATCCCCCCTTCAACCTTCCTCGTGAGAAAGTTCATTTTCACAACCCTGGGGGTTCAGGTGGTAAGCTGAGCAGCAGGAACCCCTGTACTCCTTTCAGTAGCCTGGAAACTCAGCTCCACTCCTATTACTACCGCAAGGTGTAGCTGCAAGCCCAGCACCTGGACAACAGCCAACCAGAATTGGGGTGGCTACAGCAGAGGATCAGAGCGGAGCATCTTTACAAGATGGGGGAAGAGTGCAGGGGAAATTAAAGTTAAGTGCCCCCAATGAGCACTGGGGAAACAGATTAGCAACCTCCTGCTGCTCTCTAGAGAACTGGGTCTGAAAGACTAGCCGGAAGGGAGCCACAGTGCCAACAGGCTGGCCAAGCACAGGGAAACCTAGCAAAGAATCAGACTAGATTTTAAACAGGCTGTAAGTCCCTTCCAAATTGCAGGTTACATCACCAGGCATTCCTGCAGATCAACAGGCAGGTCAGGTTGTTCCACTCCTTTTACCAAGGGCCAACTAGGGAATTTCAAATGATTCCTCGCCAGCTGAACTCAGCCCCAGCAGTTCCACCATCAAGGCAGGTTTGCCTAGCTCTCTACTGCACTGAGTCCCAGTGATTTCAATACCCTCCAATGCTTTAAAGGCCATCAACGTTTTCATTCTTCTCTTTCTCCAGAAGCCTGCAAACACAGCCCTTCAGCTGCCAGAATCTTGTTCGCTCTCCAGTTCCTTCCAAGATCTCCTGCACGCTCACCTGCAATTCCCAGCCATGACAATATCACTGCTGAGCCTGTACCAATAATGATTATTTTTGTACTATGCCTAGCACAGTGGAATCCTGGTCCATGACTGGGGCTCCTGGGAGCTACCACAACACAAATAACGGGACAGTCACTAATGTGTCCTAGCTATGCTGCTGCTTTATCGTTTACATTTCACTCCTTTTACTCAGTGAAAGACTGAGCAGTCACTTGTCCTTTCTTCTGCCCATATGTTAGCCCAATGCTGCAATCCTGACATTGCCATCACCGCAGTGCAGGGATAAACCTAGCAAAACACTGGCTCCACTTTATTTCATGAAAATGTTTTAAAAATTGCAAGAAGCCCATGGTATTAACAAAACCAAGTCTGGGGTCTCAGCCATCACACTGGAGCATGGATCTACCCCATTCCTCTCTGAACCCCCACTCCTATACTACTCCCAGTCATCGACAGCATTTTTACAAGGTGGTGAAACAGCTAAGAAAACCCACAAAAGCCAGGTTTGAGGAGCCACTCATCCACTTACCAGTGACAAGCCACCTTGGCCCTCATCTAGACTAGCACAAAGGGTGAAATGAGTGTGCGCCATAGTGCTAACTTAACTGTATTGAAAACCCCACTAAAAATGCAGACAGTTCAACACCCTTAGCTCTACTTTAGCC